GTTGGGCGTGAGCTAAAAGCCGTGCTCATCCCGCGATTTTCTCTCCACTGAAACTGCAAGTTTACAACGGGATTGTCTCTCCGCCGAAACTATGAGCTTGTATCTCGAGCGCCCTGCAGCCTACTCCATACCCTATCAAAAACTGCTCATATGGGCATGGGCCAAAATAAAAAATGCAGGTTTTATCTTATCTGGCGACTACTTGTCTCGCAAACCTTGCATCGCGGCTTGCGCATCATCCATCCTTTTCATTCGTCCCCCTCTCATTTCGTCCAAACCTTGTCATGCCCTTCTCGCCACAAGATCACTGTGGCAGCTTGGCGATATTTCGGTCGTTGAAGACTCATCACGATGAGTCAGCATGCTAAAACATGTACACCGGTGGATCCAGACTGAGCGCGTTCGCCCGATTCCCCCTCGCTCCCCTTCGCTCACTCCGTTTCCTCCTCCTGACCTCGGGAAAATCCGCCCAGCCTCGCCAGCGTCCGCTTATCGTGACATCTGCTTTTCCGCTTCGTAGAGCTACACTCTCCATCCCCTGATGGCCCCACGCTGCTTCCGAGGACGATGGCATCGGCAAGTCGTGACCTTGGGTCACGCGGGATCGTAGCGAGACAAACGCCCGCGAACCAAACCGTTACCTTGAATCTAGAATCATAATTATGTCCCACGTATTCGCCTTTGTTACGGATGGCAGCAAACATAAGCGACTTGTGCAGCAATTTTTGGGTAATCTAGACGGGGTATTAGTATAACGAACGTGATGTTAACATATGTACAAGCACACGACAGTTCTTGTGCAGATATTGACACACCGAGGGAGGATAGCCCGGAGAGCTATCTCAGCCGAGTTATGTAAGTATGGTCAAGTAGACCTAGAGTATGGTGCACAAAATATGCCGCACGCAGATAAACAAAATCTGAGAGAATATGATTTGTGCTGCACATCCTTCACCTCTTCGGTGACAGCGATCGCCTACGGGAGGGGGAGGAGGACCACCCATTGCCCCGTATCCTATCATCGCCGGCGCTGCTCCTGTGGCTCCTCGTCTATGGCCGTATGCGGGGGCATGGCGCAGAGGAAACATCCCCAGTTAAGGTGCATCCGACCAGCTGTGTGTAGACTGGATCACGGTTTCAGTTTTCCGCCAGGTAAACTTATCGCCTATATCATTTTTGGTCGAAGGATTAAGCATTTTACAGTGGTGATCGAAATGTGTCAAGGGAGCTGGTGTCAATTGGTGAAGACCACTTTGGCAAAAACGTCAGCTTTTTTCTTCCCGGCCGTGTTTTCCCCCGTGAAGAAGTTTTGGATCATAGAGCAATGCTTTTCTCCATGACACCAGATTGCTGGTGGATTTCGGTCGTCGTTTTAATGCCAAGTAAATATCATTGCTGACCGGGGACACGTATGAACGGCAGTGCAAGGCTTGCCATTAAGGGAGCTTGATACACTGGGTCAAATACCTGTGCACCGCACCTTTGACCGTCGTTATCTGAAGGTGATGCATCATAACTGGCCGCCGGATAACCACATCTTCCATTTTAAGCAATGTGAGGAATGATGCAGCTGTCTGTCAATCATGCTGTCAGCCAGTGGCATACAAAGTCTGGTTAATGCTGGCATTATAACGCGACCCCTCTCCCTTCCCTCCACACTGAACAGTCGTCACCGAGGCCGAGCGGGAACTAACACGGCGCGTGCTGTCATCAGAGGACATCGCCACTCCACTGCGGAGCCGACGACGCCCGCTGGGGTACTGACGTGTATGTGGGCGTGGTGAGGGGGGGGGGGCTGTAGCCGTGGCAGTCAATACAATGTCAACGCCACGGATTTCAGCCAGCGTAATGCAAAACGGCATCGACTAATTTTGATAAGCTAGAATGTGAGTCAACTGAAATTCTCACAGTGCTAGTTACCTGAAATTTTAATGTGAGGTACCTAAAACACGCTTACATCATTTCGTTGCTCCTGTTATCTGGGTTTTAGTGACCGGCTGTGCCTGGTGCGTGATTAAACTTACTCATGAATCATTATTGGCTTCCATTTTGTGCTTTGTATGCGTGGCCTGACTCGATGTCAACACGCCAGTGGAATCCCAGCATCCGGGGGAGCAGAGCGTCATCAGAGGACAAACCGGTTTGTGAGCAAACGGGACCCAGGGAGATAGAGAGAGAGAGAGAGGGAGAGAGAGATGGAGAGAGAGAGAGAGAGAGAGAGAGAGAGAGAGAGAGAGAGAGAGAGAGATAGCGCTAAAGATGAGCATTATCCGATGGATGGTCGCTACTCTTTTATCTTCGTACTCTCGCTCTTTTCTTTCAGCTCTCTCGCTCTACTCTCTCTCTCTCTCTCCTCTCGACTCTCTCTCTCTCTCTCTCTCTCTCTCTCTCGCTCTCTCTCCTCTCTCTCTCTCTCTCCTCTCTCTCTCCTCTCTTCTCTCTCTCTCTCTCTTCTCTCTGCGTCCTCTCTTCTTTTTCTCTCCTCTCTATCCTCTGCTCTTCCCCCCCCTGGCCTTGGGAGGGGAAAACGACATGGCACCAAGTGACTTGCGAAGGCACTGACAGTTGGCAGGCAAAATCGACTTTTGAGGTGCGAATAACTAAGGTGGTTTATATTCTACAGGCAATAGATGACTGCTGTTTCCATCGCGCAGAATAGGTGCATGATAAGTGTGTTTGAAAAACATCTTAAAAATGCTTTTGACTGTTAGTAGACAAGTTTATACCTCATTGAAGGGTGCTTCCTAAGAGTCGCTTTTACCGGAGATGTCTTCAAGCTCAGTCAGGCGGCTTGCGTAAGAAAGTGATGGTAAACGGTATGAAACAAAGTGGACTTGAGCGAGACTTTGCGAAAGTTTTAAAATTTGTAATGCCACGTACAAGGTGTTCATTGCCGTAGTCAGTATCTCCGGGTCAGCCAGTGCTACTCTTTTCTCATATGGTATGCCGCTTGAGTCGGCTTCATGAATCCTATATTCTATTGAATGATATCGGGACCAATTTCACAGCATTATTGTGATATCCTCCATGTTGTATTCCACATAACAGTTGTTAGAAGACATGTGCTTGGCCAATTATGAAGTTCGAATTCAACATAAACATAAACTAAGTCTTTATTGAGCTATGATATAATCACTTACCTTGTTCATGCTATTCAGAGACGAAGCTGAGGCACTCAAATAATCGACGAATTCAATCAAAACTGGAAAGTAGATGGCACAATGCGTGCATAATATGACAGCTAGCACGTGCACCAAATGGAACACAGTCATAAGTAAATTGTTGCCGTAAACCTAAATGAGCTACGCCTTTACGAGGCCCATAGAAAAGCTTTTCTCAATGTTGAACTAAAATTTCTAAAAAGGTCGCACAGATTTGAATAGCATCGATTATGGGGAATTAACGATATCTCATTCAGTTCTAACTGGGGTTATCCCAAGGTCCGATGTTATGTTAGAACGACACTTGTCGGTTCTAACTGGAGTTAACCCAAGGTCCGCTGTTATGTTAGAACAACTCCGTCGGTGGAGCTTGGCCGACGTGCTGCCAGATGGCGCCACTGGAACCACGACGCCCAGCCAAAGAGCAGATCAGAAACCTGTCATCTGTCCCCGCTGGTTCTGCTGCCATGCGACGGAGTCGAACCATGTACCGCCGACGATAGCAGTTTGCTTTGCTGTGAAGCCAGCCAACTCATTCGGAAAATTCTTCTTGGTTTTGATAAGGTATGAAATAAATTGAGCTTCAAAGGGATTGTTTCACGTTGTTGTAGGCTTCTGAACTGAAATGCCATCTGACGCAATGAAACAACGGGGTATTCAGGAGTATATGTACTAAAGAGAGAAATTGTATTTTCTGGAGGATTATTTTTACTTAGAAGTAAACCATTAGTTATAAGTTAGCTTATTTCATCATATCTGATGCTTGCTTTCATATATTTCAATGTAGACCATTCACTTTAACCTGCTTCTCAATGCGCCTGACTTAGAGAGCATCTCATCCCTCATGGAAAGGCTTACTTCGCGAGAGCGACCGTCTAGCACCGGGGTTGGGCCCGACACTCAGTTCTTCGGCTCTTGGAAAGCGTTCATCACGAGGAAACCCTGATTTGCCAAGACGGCCAATGGTATAGGCACTGTTAAGAAAAATTCGTGCATTAAGACATCACCACCGGAAATTTAACGAATGCTGTTAGTCATACGTGGGCTTAAACTATATTGGGCAGGACAATTACCTTTTGTACTCGTTTCAAACCGAGGTGGCTAAGGTTACTGGTGAAAATAAATAGACCTTGCTCTCAATGAATAGTTTCATGACGCTGGCACGCATACAAGAGAAAGTGAGTTACAATTACTGAAACAACGAAGTGGCTGCACCAAGTGATGCCAGTCGGGTAGTCATGGGGCATAGTTGTTTAAAAGTCAAGCAGTGTCTTGAAACACTGAGGCTGGATCTTAGCTGGTGAAAGGACGGCATTGATGTCATTAAGCAACAATTACCATATCCCTAGAGGTAGTCTAACCTTAAGTCCGTATGCTGTGCTGATAGCTACTTTCAAAAATATACTAGCATGGTGTATGGGAACTTGCGCACCTCCTGGTGCTGATTTCTTGGATTCCTTACCCAGTGATGAAGTCCGTAAGCTAAGCCAGCTTTGTTTCCTTCTAAACCCTCACTAAATCGACTGCATCATCCGCGATATGCATTCTCATTTCCGGCGCTGGAGAGTAGCTACGCGTGCCATTTCATGCAACGCTCGGAGATAAGTATACATGCATTGTATGCTGTGGTCATCTCGCAGCAAAATGTCTGCTTCAAGTACGCGAAAAGCTGCTCGTTTCCGCCAAACAGAACGTTGATGGGTTTGGTTGCAAAGAGCCATGCACATCTCTGGCAGAAGCCCTTGCGAGTCTTGACCACTCACGCTGGCGGAGTTGTTCCAATAATGGCCAGGGGCGCCGGGGTGAGGGTTTCCCGCGTGGCCAGCGGCGTCCGCTCCGTGGACCTGCATATAAAGCAAGAGCCCAGCACAGGGACTGCAGACCACGGCAAGATCTCCAGGTGAAAAGACAGAAAGTAAGTGGTCGCTTCACAATAGCAACGGGTTGCGCAGCAACCCGTTGTTTAAGCAGCGCACCCAGCATACCGCCATTCGAATCCGTTCGTAGTATTGATTTGGGTTATTGCCATACACTTCGACCTTTATGCAACGGGTCATCTAACGATGGCTAAACTTTCTTCTAGCACCGCCTGAAGTTGTCCTGTTCTGTCCTGGAGTTGACCTCGTTGGGCAGTCAAAGTGACCTTCTCCCCTCAATTGATGCATTTTATCTGAAATCCAGGCAACGAGTGCTGCTTGGTCGGGCTAGATTCGATCATAACTCATCGCGGTGCTTCCAGCTCCCTCCAACTATGAAGACCGTGGCCATCTTGCTCTGCGTGGTCGCTGGCGCCGCTGCGTTCCCGCAGGGCTATTTCCCAGGTCTGTTTGGTCAGAACAGCCAGGCGACCGGAAGTGCCGCCGGCAATGTGGTGTCTGGGGTCAGCGGCGGTCCCTTCCAGAACTCCCGGATCACACAAGTCAGCGCCACCGCCTCGGTAAGAGAACAAAAATCGTACAGGGCCTCGCCGCCTGGCAAGGACTTAACTATTACGTCAGATAGATCGAAAGTGTGGTCTGCGAATGTTGGTGACAACATTGCTTAATCCGTCAGACATTTGCACCATATTTACATTAAAAGCGAGCACGGAGACGGATTGGGTTGGATGGAAGCTAAGGAAGTTCGAAGCATAACGACACAATACTACGCGGGGCCCTTACATTTTCCTTTTAGTCTTGTACCCTTGGATACACCGGGCAGCTGACGATTTTGATGCATTAGCTAAGTCACTTTGGGCCTTCCAGGGTGCGGCAAGAGGCAATGCGATCAGTAGAAATGCTGCCAGCGCCTCTGACTTCGGCTCTTCGGGACTGTTCGGAAACAAGAGGTTCTCGAACACCAATGCCGTCTCCAACCAGCAGACGTTTGGCGGAGGCTTTGGTGGTTTCCAGCGGCCTTTTGGCAACGGATACCAGCAGTATCCCAGCCAGAGCTACGTCTATTGACAGTCCCCTGGTGCGGGGATTCGGTTGACGTGTACCTCATAAGTTCCGAACGCTTTGGCAGCCAAAGCGTGACCATTACACTTGCTGAGGTCAGCAAAACGTCTTCTTGTCGACTCCTTCCCGCAGGTTTGTATTACATCACATCGCTCAACGCGCAGTGCAAACAAATTTGCAGAAATTGATGACTTGTGACACGGTATGAGGGCTCCCTTTTGTGATGTCTCATATGAAGGTTACTGCCATTCTGAGTGTCAAACGTTTAAGATCGATTGCCCTGTTGGCACTCGACTGATGTATGCGGGGAGGAATAAAGCGACAAGTGAACATGAGCAATGCATCGTAGTTTCGCACTGCTCGGCGTTTAAGTACTTGCGACCGCAGAGCACGACGACCCAGCCAGCGGCCGCGCGTGGCTGCCGCAGCGGCCCTCACCGACAAGGGCAGCTTCACCAAAGGGTCGCGACCCCGCCTCAGGCGATCAGTCGGGTCAGCTGATACGCCGTCGCGCCTCGCGCCGAGCGACACGCACGCTGGCCCCTCCTCCCGGACGTCGGCGTGGGTGGCAGACCGACCCGCTCCCGCGCTCGCTGTCGTCGCTGGCTGTCCTGGCGCTGCTGCGCTCGCGACGGCAGGCACCACGTCACGTCTCGTAGCGACGATAACATAACACAAAAGCGTCGGTCTTTCTTGTGTTTTGCCTGCCAGGAAGCTGCGCGGGTGCGACAAACAGAATCAGACGCGATACACGTGTTTCCCTAGGAGTAGTGCACTTGTGCGCGTGCGGATTGCTTAGTAAGAGCTTGTTTTACAGTTGCTTATAAAAGGCCCGCCTTACTGCACGATTTACATTTGCACCAGACTGCAAATGCTTTAACGATGTCAGTAGCGTGAAATCGTATTTCTAGGGTTTCTTTTGCAAGAACACTTGTGGTTTGCGAGGCTATGTGAAGGCCAATTGGGTGAAGCCAGCTGATCAGGCTCTTGATGTAAGCAAGAAAGGCATTGAGCTCCTGATTGTTCGACATAATGCATTAGAGTTCTAATGCCGACCGTTACCGGCCTCCAAGGAGGTTTTGGTGTGAGGAGGTACTGGTTTAAACAAGATTGTCTAACAAACATTGGTTATAAGATATCTGAAACGTCGAGTATTGAAAATTCAACCATGTTTGTTTGCTAATGTCGTGTAACTAGTTTTTACTGATATCTTGAAAATCAGTTTACTGTCGGCGTGAGAACAAAGAGCTCTTAATACGTGGTAAAGCACATAGCGTTGCATATTGATTGAGACGTGCAAAACTCGTTTTTTGAACGAATTTTTTGGGAGATGAAAACGACTACGCAGAATAAAGGAGGACGAACGAAGTTGAAGCTGCAGGAACCAAACACCCCAGCTGCCATCTTTTGCAGATTACATGGATGGTCTGGGCTCCAGCCAGATCTAACTCAAATGGGTAGTTTTTACCAGCGGCTGAGCCGGGGACAAATGGACAATAAAGTGTATTGCCCGTCAGACAATCCAGGAACATGTATTCACATCTCAAGGAAAAAGACCAAATTTAATACGACGGCTTTAAAGGAGCACTACTGAAGAGATACTGCCGCGTTGTAGCGCATGTTGTGGGTTTACCTGAACCGTTGGATACATCTACGGGTAATTGACATTTCCTTCATGACCATGAGTTCTTGAGCGTGGTTATGTGGAGAGAAGGCAAGAACCAGGGTCCAAACCCTAATAGACGCTGGAAGCGGCCAAATTTTCGTAAAGGCTGCCGTGTCCAACGGCCTGCGACGCGGGATTCTCGGAGCGCAGCCACTGGGTGAGCAGACGTTTGGCAAAGCAACGCTCAAACGGCATCGGAAATGCAACGTGCAGCTGACGTTCTCCGCCAGAGGTAAAGGTTGTGACGTCACACTAGCAGCCTACATGGCGACAACTGCGCGGTCCAGTAGGTCAGCACCCGTCACCATCTGAAAGCTTTACCGGGGTGCCGAATGGAGAACTCAGTCGCTTGCTGCAGCCACAGACCACCGTAGTTCTGTAGTTGAGCGTGCTGCGATGAGTCAACGATGAAACAGACGTGTGCGAAGCGTCTGAAGTTTGTGATGCGCCGCATGAGGCCTGGTCGAGAGCGATAGACCCGTAGCGAGCAGCCTCGAGAACAAAAATGCAAAACGGAAGACCTAGTTAATTGAAAAATTTGACGTAAACGGCATGCCCGCACCTCTGCAGTGCCGTGGTTTCTCAAGACTCTCACAAGCTGCGTAACAAACACAAGACAGGCAGACACAAGCAGATGTGATGATGATGATGAAGCAGAATGATGCATGACGTGACAGGCACAAGCTGCTTCATGTGAGGAAGACATTACTTAAACCTTTTATTTTTTAGCATTGCAAGCGGCAGGCCTTCAATATAGCGGAGCTATTCGTTAAACGCGAATTTCAAAAAAGTGATAGGGACAAATTATGAAAATACTTCACATTTTTACAAATGCTCATGGTCACTACCGATACACCTCAAGAAAAAAACTTGGCGAAACATGACCCAGCGCACAAACATGTTCCATACAATTGTATTTGTTCCAATATGCAAAAAACGAAACAGAATGACGAATATTTTAGAACTACCCTATTCTTGCAATTCGTACGGGCTAACAATCTCAGGGCTAGTTGAACCACAGACGGCTAATGTGGTCTATGATCAGAGCAATTAATGAACGTGAAAGCTAAGGAGTTACAGGTTTGAACGAAATCAGCATTTCTCGCTACATCAATGTACGACAGGCCATTCTTACTCGGAGGGTCGTTATGCTCTTCAACGGCCCGTATTACTTATCCGAAGAGGGCATGCTTTTCTTGCAGCGTCACGCTTTTCAAACGTGTCGCCAGGGGCGCTACAATCTACCGCCAGGATCGCTAGTCGGCGTTTTTCCGCTCTGCTATCCGAGACCGGCACTCTGCCTATCCGAGACCGGACCTGCGACACATATGTACGCACTACACATCGTCTACAATACACGCTACTTGCTCTCCGCGACCAGCAAGAAAGGGGTCGGTTCTCTGATAAGCACCTTGCTCTCGGAGACGCTGAAGTCGTGGCGGAAGCCGTCGGGGAAACGCAACGTGAACCGCTGCACCATGGCCGTCACGAAGAGGAAGAGCTCGGCGCGCGCCATCGCCTCGCCGATGCACGACCGCTTCCCCACGGAGAACGGCATGAGCACGCGGCTCGGCTTCAGTTTCCCTTCGGCGTCGAGGAAGCGCTCCGGCCGGAACTCGAGCGGCTCCGCGAACAGCGCCTCGTCCTGGTGCACGGCCTGCAGCAGTGGCACGATCTGCGCCCCTTGCGGCACCGTGAAGCCGCCCAGCTGGAACTCCTCGGCCGTCACGTGCTCGATGCCGTAGGGTGCGACGTTGGCCACGCGCTGCGTCTCCATGAGGAAGGCGTCAGTGTAAGGCATGCGGGGTCGATCGGCGAGCTGCGGCGGTCGCTCATCGCCGGCCACCGCCCTCACCTCGGCTTGCAGCCGCCGCTGCACCTCCGGGTGCGAGCAGAGGAAGCAGAAGGCCCAGCGCAGCGTGGTGGTGGTCGTGTCGTAGCCAGCCACGAAGAGGTCGAGGATGGAGCGCAGCATGTGCCGGTTGGTGAAGAGGTCCGGGCTGCGATGCTGCTCCTGCAGCAGGCAGTCGATGTAGTCGCGAGGCTCACCATTCAAGTCCACGGTCCGCGCGTGCTCGTCGATGGCCGGCTGAAAGAGCTTGTCCATCGGAATGCTGAAGAGCTTATACGCCTTGTCCAGACCCGTGAGACGGGCGGGGAACCTCTCCAGCACCGGGAAGAGAAACAGCAAGATGAACACCCCGGTCAGCTTGCCCACCTCGTCGAAGCTGTCCATCACCTCCAGCGCCCTGGTGTCGTGAATGGTGAACCTTTCGCTAGAGACCACGCCCCAGATGATGTTGGCGATAGCGATACGCAGGCCCTTGTCAATGGACATCGCCTTGCCCACGTTTGGTGCCACCAGATCGTCGACGAAGGCGCTGACCTGGTCCTGAATGAGACCTTCCAGCTGCGTTCTGCCCATGCCGAAGTTCCGCAGGTGGAAGAGCGTGAAGCGACGTGTCTGCTGCCAGAGTTCGCCGCTGGAGAAGATGATGCCGTTGTCAGCGTAAAACAGTTTGAGGACGTTACTCTCTTGCCGGTTGGCTGTGAACGGTCGGCTGAAAGCTTCTCTGATCAGGTCCGGGTCGGAGAGCACTACTATCGTCTGTCCCAGTGCTGAGCACTGATAGATGGGGCCGTACTGTTTGCGCCACTTCGTGAAGGTCTCCTCCTTCCGTACATAATTCATGGAGAAGCTCTGTTGAATCAGTGGAAGGCCTCGTGGACCTGAAAGAAACAGATTGTCAGCGCTAGCCTCGTCGGCGCGGCATGGGCATGGCCATGGGACGGGTGCTGTCTCCGTCGGATGGGCTCGAAATGCTTTAACTCGGTCAATTGTCGTGGGGCATGTTTCGGACCGAAAGAGACAGGAAGACGTCGTTTCCGCTGGTGTCGTGCTACGACTGCTGTACCAAAGAAAAATCTGCCAAACACTGGTACAACGAGGCATTAAACCAGCTTCTATGCGAGATTACTCGCAAACGACAAAACTGTTCTTTCACGTAATATCCCACCCACATACAAACATCCTGCACAAGTCTGCCACCGACATAGATAGGGATGGGGGAGGGGGAGGGGGGGTACTGTGCTCTGTACCCGCCACGTTCCAACGCATAAGCCAACGACCCTGCGCAAATTACATCAGACTTCGCGTGAGGCAAAGAAATGTCACCGGAGTCAAGTTCGAAAACTGGGTTAACACACTTCACTGTCATTCCGATTTCATTATTTCCTGCTGTTGAATTTGATGGGCGTTTGCTGAATGTAGGTTCTCCATATCGGTATTGATATCAATCTTGATCATCAGATTGTATAGTACTTCAGGCATTTCTGACATCGAAAGAAGAAAATTAATTGTGACAGTGAACAATAAACCAGTTTTCGAGCCGGCTTTCCGTCATACCGGGTGGACGGTTCTTGCTGTTTCTTGTGTAGATTATCACCACCAGCATCAACACCACAAACACAGCGACGGCAGCCAGCATGATGACGCTGGTTTTGACTATCTACTGTTCCACCAAGATTTCCGCGCCGGCACCGCACTGCCGATTTCCACGGACGTTTCCCGACAGTAAACAAGATCGCTGAGTAAACTACCACAGGCCAGTGCACTTCTGCTGCGAGGAACGTCTCCTCACTGCCACTCCCCTCGCCGCACGGGATTCTCCATCAAAGGCCAGGTGACTCGCCCGGTGATCGCCAGAGGCGGAGCCAGGCGTACAGAATCCGCGGTGCCGCGCACGAAATCACGCGTGCTACTCGTTAAAACGTGCGGCGTGGGCGGTCTCCAACGCTGTTAAGTGCCCGTAGAAGTAACGAGCCGACGCCGCCCGCGGACGTGCCCCCCGCAACAGATTGTCTGTAGCCGCGCCTGTGGCCGAGCGCCAAGGCCGGCTGCGTGGCATCGCGGCCCCGAAGGCCGCGCCTGTGTCGCGCGGTGAGAAGCCTGTACCTGGGATGCACTCAGGAATGATAAGATTGGTCACTCTCAGACTTGCTATCGACTTTGACTTGAGTCACAGTTGACCACGCAGCAGGCCAAAAATTTGGTTCGTGGCCATACAAGGGACACATAGTATATATAGCATAGATATGCCATTTAGGAGCTCCGTCAGAGTGGATTTTTAGATTCCATGCCAATGAACATAAAGTGATCAAATCAGGTAACCCTCTCCTTGACAAAATCGGAAGCTGAGATAACAATAAAGGCAGTGGCGGCACGACCACCGAGGGGGGGGGGGGGCTGGCAGAAAGGACAGTTGCTCCTTACCTGTCGGCAGGCGAGGAGCAAGAGTATGTTTTTGCTCCCTTTAAGGTTTTTGGGAAGCCCTTATTCTAAGATCACAAACGCTGTAGTTCACAAAAAATCCCGTAGTTTAGCAAATATCCCCACGGTTTACCAAAATTCAGATCAAGGAGGCCCTTTAACTGAACTAGAAAGTAGTAATTGGGTTCAGAAGACTCTTTCCTACATAAAAATGACCTGTTTTCTGGATCATAATGCCCCCTTCTCTCTCTCTCTCTCTCTCTCTCTCTCTCTCTCTCTCTCTCTCTCTCTCTCTCTCTCTCTCTCTCTCTCTCTCTCTCTCTCTCTCTCTCTCTCTCTCTCTCTCTCTCTCTCTCTCTCTCTCTCTCTCTAAAATGATGTTTTCATTTGTCTTCGTAATAAAAAACACGAAGAAATGATGACACAGCTTTGTATTTTTTTTTCAACGCCCGTTGCGAACCAACGACGAAATAGCTTTCAGTGACGTCATGTAGCGGCTAGCACTGATTGCAATCAAATCGCTTGATGACTTGTCCTCTTATACAGGGCCTTGGTGTGTGGCAGGTCCACGTCTCTGCTCGGCCCGAGGCGGTGGGGGTATAGAGCCTAGGGGTACCGGCAGAGGTGGTTGGAGTCTGCTTTGTGGTTAAGATGTGAGTCGTCAATTGTCATCTATTTTTTCGAAGTGGCATAAAGCTGTGCACAGGCAGCTTGTTGAAGCTGTCTCACCCAAAGGCACATTTCCCCTCTCTATTCACCCCTGTACAAAAACAAGTTTTTTTTAGCGGTGCTTTCATTGGGATGGTAATGTTACGGCCGCCAGTCACACCACATAACAAAATGGTGCCATACAATATGTCTAGGTCTGCCTTTGACACTTCAGAACATGAGTTTTGAAATATGCTGTAAAAGGGCACCCAATCATCCAGCCAGCATGCAAACTGTGACAATATTCTGGTGTTTTATGCTAATTAATAGCATTTATGTATTTAAGTGTTAGTGAGGTCAAATGTAGACTGTATGATTTAGTTCAATTACATGACACTGCAGGCTGCATGGTAAATGTCAGGGCTCAAAACCTTGCATGACTTGCTTAAAAGATGTACAACCTTTTTTATCTCACCCTGTTGTGTGAGAGTCCTTCCAAGCTCAGAGTGCCAGTATAGAGACAGCTGCATTATGTATTTTTATGAGAATAACTGGCCTTTCTTGTGCATGTATTGTCAAAACTGATCTGGGCTTAACTTGATTTGCCTGGCATTGGTCTGAATCCTCATCACATATCCCTTTATGTATGCCTGCTTATTTTTCCAGCTCATCCAAAACTTTCTGAATAGTAGAAATGTCTGAATGCTCCAGTGATTGTCAGTATTAGCCACATAATTTCTTATAGCACAAAACTAGACCTAAGGTACAGAAATGCTTAAAGCATTCATGCTGATCAAGAAAGTTTCAAACTTATGATGAACAGTCCTATGTCAGGTAAAATGTGCAGTCCATAATAGTACTAGAACAATGGCTTGCATCTTGAAATGGTTTTCAAAAAATTGTGTTGTTCACAATGTGAGTGCAGGCACAGAATTTGCTATTGATGCACCCTTACACTGCAAGGCATGATCAACATATGAGTAGCATGCATGATAAGCATGGAAGCTCTGACAGATTTATGCTATTATATTTTGTTTTTGTTTGAAGACCCCTTGCCATTTAGGTAAAAACTAGCAGTAGACTTAAATGGGCACAGGCAGGGGCATGAGGGGCACATGCCACTCAGTCCTGGTTTGAGGGCCCAAAAAGGCCAGCTGAAGGTCAAATTCATTCATTGGAGTGCCTACTAAACTGGGACACTCCAATGGCCATTCAGAGGGTCAAATTGCTCTGAGTAAATGAGGGCCAGTATGTTGGTCAGAAACCACCAGTAAAGCACAGTCATCTCCTTGTCAGCATGGATGTGAGGGCCCATTTCTCAAGCAGGGACAAAGCTAGGGCCAGTGATAACATTGGCCAGGGCCCTAGCATCTGTCAAGGGCCCATAGAGCCCAACAAAGGGGCCTGTGTTGGCAAGGGATCCAAGTGGGCCAGAGGTTAGCTGTTTGAACAGGTCTGAATGGTGTGCAATGAGTTGTGAATTGTGGCTTAACTGATTGTGGAACCCAAAGATAGTGCATTCCCATACTTTGGCCAGAGATCACCAGTGCCAAAGAGTCAGCACCATGTTGGTCTAAGCTTTGGAGACATTTTCCAAGCAGGGACAAGGCTAGACCTGTGCATTGGTTGGGTCCCTGGAACATTGTGGGACCCCTGTGTTGGTCAGGTCCTATAGCACATAATAGGGTATCCTGTGTCGACAAGGGACCTAGAGTCAGCCAGGGAACATTTGTGGAGTGGGGATGGGGGTGGGACCCTGAATGCTTGAGGGCCTCTTCAGTTGGTCAGGGCCTCTGGTGATGAAGGCAAACATGAGAGCTTGGTGAGCATTTATTGAGATCATGCAAGTGTTATGTGTTGGTCAGGGCCCCCAGTATGGAATGATGAGCCCTCCAACCCAGAGGGGCTTAAAGCACCCAACAAGGGGGCCCGGAGATCACCGGCACCGGACCCATCGTCCTTCCGTCCCGCCCCCACCCGCATTCCGCACGTGTTCCCTGGACAGGCTGCTGTGTTTGGGCATTATTGTTTTATTCATTAGTTAGGGTGAGAAAAATACATACAGTATGTTGACTCTCTCCCTTCCATGATATTTTGGGTTTCCTATATTTCATTGCTAGATATCCAGTGAGCAAATTATTAGTTTCACTTTTTGTCACACATCAAAGCATATGTTACTGAACCATGTGATCATTTGAATATCTATGTGACACCAAGGCTACGCTATATCATAATAGGGATCCAGTGTGATTTTTCCAGGATGGAGCCATTGAATGAGTTATAGCTCAAGATTTTCCCCTTTTGTTTATGTTATGCTCATAATGGAATTGTATTCACCAAAACAAGCTTCCATAAGTTTTCTTCTGAATCATGTATGCCATTGTTAAAAGAATATGGCGGAAGGCATTATTTATGTATTATGTTGGGTTCCCACATTATCGGTAGGGAGGCATTGGACCAACTCATGTATGTAAGTAGCACATACTTGTCCCAGTATAGCAGATGATGTCAGCTCGCTCTGGCCTCCACCACGCCCAGCCTGTGTTCGAGAGCTGGCAGAACCTCGGGACGCTGATACGACAGCTGAAATGACGACCCCCAAAACATGGCAATTTCCATGAACTATCTGAGCTGCATCCTCTGACACTCTACGAGAAAAACTGCGGCCCTGTGAACTACCACTTGCACAATTCGCATGTTGACTCCGCACGCTGTCGGCAGATGTTGTGGGCGGCGGTGTTGTGCGCCCTGCTGGCGGCCGGCGGCTCCGCGACCGAGGCGGAGCCGGCGCCGGCGGCGGCGGCGGCCCAGCACCAGATCGAGGGGCGGCTGCTGAAGCCGGAGCGGGACCCGGACGCGGCCTGGTTCCAGGCGGCCTTCGTCACCGTCACCGGCGGCCCCGAGACGCGCTACGGCTTCCCCACGTGAGCGGCGCCCTCCCGCGCGCGCGGGCTGATCCCGGCTTCCATACCGGTCCTGGTCCTGTGTCTGGTCCTGGTCCGAGTGCAGATCTCGTTTTGAACGCTGGAACGGCTTCATCGTTGGTCCCAACTCTGGCCTTGATTCTGACTGGGGCCGCGGCCTTGATCATGATCGTGACCCAGATCATGACCCTGACCCTAATTCAGTCATCCTGATCGTGACCTTGACCCTAGTCATGACCCTGACCTTGATCATAACCATTTCCCTGATCATGACCCTGATCCTGACCGTAATCATGATCCTGATCATGACCCTGACTGTGGCCCCCATCCTTGACCAGGTCTGTGGTCTGGAGCTGTCCCTTGTTTCGTCGTGTCTGGCCTGGAGAGTGCACACGCGATACTGTGTTGTTTTGGGTGTTTGCCCTGTCTCACTCATGTGTGGAAATGGTCATTCAAAATGCTCGCATAAGCGATATTGTTTTTGGTTTCTTTTTGTATGCCATCTTTATCCCAGGTACAGGCTGCTTGTTGCTGGCTTTTTTATTACTAGTCCTATCGAGGGTCAGAAAAGAAGAGGAGAAAACTTACAGCTAAACGAGCTATGTACATCATACTGCAGGAAAATGTCCTTTTTTATCCAGAGGTTATTCACGATATGAACTGTACGTCATCTGTCATGATATACCAGGGTTGTGTGTAATCCATCTGAGGCGCGGTGCTGCCTTTGATCAGGTGCCTCTTCCCACCGCACCTTGCCGTCTTGCCCGCGTCCATGTGCGCCGCTTGCGAGCGCTGACCGGTGCCACCACGACAGGGCGGACGGCTCGTTCGTCGTGTCGGGCCTCGCGCCCGGCTCGTACGTGGTCGAGGTCACCAACCCGCGATACCAGTTCGAGCCGGCGCGCGTCGACATCAATTCCAAGGGCAAGATGCGCGCCCGCCGCGTCAACAACATCGTGCCGTCGGAGGTGGGAGGTGGCGGATGCGTGGCCCGGCGGGCGGGCGGTAGATGTGGCGATGGGGTGGCGGGGCACGCGGAGGGTGGGGACGGGGGGGGGGGGGCAGGCCCGTGGGTCTAGCGATGGTGGCCCCATGGCTGCCATGGACTGGGCTCGGGGGCGGTGGCAGAAGCCTGCGTCGCCGTCGCTGTGGTATGCGCGATTCGGCCCTTTCATGTGCTTTGAAGTAATTGCACCCGGTGGAGAGGTTGTTCACAAATTGTCCCTGCAGCAACGTCGCCGCGTTATTGCAGGGGCAATGGCGGGGGCATGGGCAGGGGCGAATAACGGCGCCGATTGCGTGTCGCGTGCTGTGTGATTCTGTGACTGTCCGGCCAGGCACTCTGCGCCATGAGATGACACAGAGTACATGTATATATATATATATATATATATATATATATATATATATATATATATATATATAATCACCACACACGGCACATGGCCAAAGATTCTCCGGCCATGTGCCGCGTATGGCCATGCATCCATGTGCCCATGTCATGTTTGGCTATGTACGCCACGCGGTCGCGCTGCGATCTGGTACAGTGTCTCGTCTGGTACCTAATGTGACCATACGCCCTGGACCTTGACTGAACCCTTGGGTACCCTACCTGACTTACGTACCTCATGTTGTCCATGACTGCGTACCTTGTGCCGAGCATCCTCATGTCCAGTCTGAGCTGTGCATGCTAGTCCTTGTCGAACCGCGGACCCTGGGTACCTGTGCCTGTACCCGGTCGTGTACCTCGCCCGCAGGTGACGCAGCTGCCGTACCCGCTGAAGCTGCGCCCGCTGGGGCCGTACCAGTACTTCCTGAAGCGCGAGCAGTGGCGCATCACAGACATCCTCTTCAGTCCCATGGTGATGATGATGGTGCTGCCCGTCGTGCTCATCGTCGTGCTGCCCAAGATGATGAACGACCCGGAGACGAGGTGGGTGGCGGCGGCGCCGGGGCGGTGGGTGCTCGGGTGGGTCGCGCCGCGCCGCCCGTGGGGCGCCGGCTGTGCCGTGCCATAGCGGTGGGGTTTGCACGGGGCGTGTCGTGCACGCCTCAAGTCGTTTGCGGGCAGTCGAGAAAGATGCCGCGCGTTGGACTGTATTCGGCCGTTTGCCAAACCATGTCCTCTGTACACACCGGGGTTATTTTTGTAGGGGTCACCAGCGGAGACTTAGACTGTCAAGGGCGTTGAACACGTAAAAGGGCGCTTTCTCTGTGGTATTATGCATTATGCTGATGTTTCGAGGACCCCATCGCGGTCATTTGTGGCATTACTATGTGCGGAACAAAGCGGGATACAAAAACGCTCAACCTGACAATATCACTCACACTGTGTCCACTGAAATTTGCAAGTGCAATTAACCGTATGCTGACATTTTGTGCGCCGAAGAAGTTCGGAGCAGTAAAATACTAAAACAGATAAAGTTTTGTATCTGTGGTAAAATTTCCATTATCTGGACGCTTTCTGTGCGCTTATTCATGCTTTTTGGGGAAGAGGGAACTCTTCGACTGGTATCGTGGTGCTCTCCCCGGCCATGGACTTGCATGATAAAAGACAGCCTCGTTTACTCCACTCGTGAATCTACCTTCAGCTGGCCTAGCGCTAAGACGCGCCGCTGACGCGCCACCCCGTCGTTGGGCGTGGACGGGTCCTCGACGCCGTGTACCCTCTGCCCCGGCTGTGTGACGTCACTCCGTCCTGGACTCGGCTTTGTGACGTCACACGGTCCACGCCCGCCGCACTGACGCGCCGGCCTTTTGTCGTTGCCAGGAAGGAGATGGAGCAGATCAGCATGCCCAAGTACGACATGCCCGAGCTCTCCGAGATGATGACGTCGTTCTTCGGCAGCGGCGAGAAGAAGAAGGCCGTGAAGCCCAAGAAAAAGCAGACGTAGCGCTGCGCCCTGGCCTTGGCTGTGTGACGTCATCCCGATCCTGCACCTGACTGTGACGTCACACATTCTGGGCATGGCTCCGTGACGTCACCCAATCCTGTACCTGGCTATGTGACATCCCCCGGTTCTGTACCTGGTTGTATGACGTCTCCCGGTCCTGTTCCTGGCTGTGTGACGTCACCCGGTCCTGTACCTGGCTGTGTGACGTCACCCGGTCCTGTACCTGGCTGTGTGACGTCACCGGGTCGTGATGTGCACCGTGTGGCGCCAGCCAGCCTCGGCTGTGCGGCAGCTCGGCGTCGACAACTGCGGCCCTCTGCAGGCGCCGCGTGACAGCGCGCCCGGCCGTCGCGAGCGCCGCCTCCTCCCCGGCCGCCGCGACGCCGGGGCGAGGAGCGTGGTCCCGGGCGGCCGGCCGGGCGCTGACGCGGCGGCGAGCCGGCGTCGCGTCGCGCCTCTCGCGGCGTGTGGAGGCCGGTCCTGGACGCACGCGGGCGCCGGCGACCACCGGTGGCGCGCGACGCCGCTGGTTCTCCGGGTGGCGCGCCTCTCCTGGCGGGTGGGGAGGGCAGCGACCGCGCCGGGGCGCCGTGTGGGGCTAGTCCAAGCTTGGCTGAGCGTCGGTCGGACGCTGTTGCCGTTGAGTTGAGCCGCTGGTGACCGTTGTGAATGGGTGGTGGCGTGATGGTGGCGCAGCGTGGGTGAGTTAGTCATATTTGTGTGAATATCGCAGGGGTTGTGCGTTTCGTTTGGATCACTGTATGGATTATTATCATTTAGAGCGCTGTCTGTGGTCGTTGCCATGCAGAATGCACGCATATGGTTGGAAGCCAGTTGATTGAGTGTGGGTTGGCGGGAATGTTTGCATTATCAGCTGTTTTAAGATATTCATCTACCTGTAGTTTGAAGCAATTCCATGCGCCTGTAAGTGGTTCCGTTTTATTGCGTGCGCATTCATGAAGTGTGATGCACTCAATTGAAAGGGTCGATGGCTAAGTGATTTCTCATCGTTAGAAATGCACGATGCGCACTTATTTGTATGTGGGCAATTATCAGTCGTGAATACAAGACCTGAGAATCCAAACAGGCCTCTGCTTCGTAAACGCTCCCATAGTCAGTGCCAGCGATTCCTTCCTCTTTTAAAGGTCTCTCTCTACAGACTTGCGACAGTGATCCGTGCGATGAAGCGATGAAGCGACGGTTGGTCCAGCTTCGGCGCTTGCTCGCCGTAGAAGGCATATTCCGTTGTGCTTTTGAAGGATCTGATTCGGTGGGAGCAGCAGCATTTGAATGCTGCTGGGCCGTCTCGATCACGTGGAGCGTCTTACAGCACGTCCTTTGCCGTGGGTGCTAATCAGTTCCAAAGTAACTCCAGAAGCGCGGAACACCTTTTGGAGACAATCGCCCGCAGTGGGAGGTACCCATCTGAAACTCGGTCGTAGGAGTGTCGGCGCTCGTGCGTTCGTAAAGTTGGCGTGGCTAGGCGCTCTTCTGCCTTGCGTGCGTCCTTATTGCAGTGCGGGGAGCGGTGTACGCTCATTGCTTTTCGCTTAAATCTGCTGCTGGCTCGAAGCACTATCATTGCACAACGTCCTGAGCATCCCATTATTTTGTATCCCACCAATGCATGGCAGCATTCGGGCCGCTGTTAACACGCTTGACTGGGAGTTTGGCACGAGTGTAATGACTCCAGCGTCTAACCCAGCCGCATGCACCGCGCCCACAGCTGCGGAGTGTACATGTCCGTTTTTCTTTTTAGCTGGTCAGTCATTGACCTGGGGCCGACCTGAACGCCAGTACTTGAAGGAGTTTGAGAGGGCCATCCCACAAAGGACTACAGCCACCTTTGTACTTACAGGCATGAATGCCTGAATGTAAAAAAGGAAAGCACAACCGTAAGTTGCATCGTATGAAATGTGATCACATGTCATGAAATGTGTTGTAGTGTAATATTTGTCATCTTTGTCCAATGCCTTGGTGGAAGAAAACACTGCTGCGGCGTTTCTCGTCAAAGGTGTCCAACAGACGCCTGGCGCGTGCCACTCGAAGAAGCGGCATTCAGGACAACGGACGCTATTGATGGGATGTGGCGTCTGGTCACTACGAGACCACGTGCTCACGGGACCGTCATGCTTCGTGCGTATTACTAAAGGCGTTCGTTCCGAAAGATAAGAATGTAGCGTGGTTTCTGCACAAGCGGTACTAGACCTCGCTAACTGCTGTAGGTGTTGCCATCTTGCATTCTGTCATAGATGTGACGTTGGTCGCGATCAGAGGCATGATAAAACATGCGCGTGGATTCGAGTGGATACGTCATCACTGACGTCGCAAATCTGCTGTGCGCCGTGATGTGCAGAAGGGCACTTTTCACGCAGCCGAGGAAGTCAGTGCACGCTCAAAGAGTAGGAGGGGTTCTGCAACTGCGCAGCAGTGCTACATAATGCCGTCCAACGGGGGACGAAAATCTGGTGTTGGAACTGCAAGCGTAAGGGTAGCACCTCTATTTATATGTTGTATTGACTGTTACTCCGTCAAAAGGAAAACCTTAATGTTGTGAAAAAGATAGTCTGAATTTTACCGTTAAAATCTACGGATTTATCTTGAAAGCATTTCGCAACCATTAATTCGTGACGGTTGCTTTTGCGCACCTGACGCTCGCCGCCTGGTTTTATCCTCAGTGACCAACGCCGCACGTTACGGGAACTGCAGCCTCGGCCTACCGCTGCTTCAGCTCCTGAGATGGCGAGCGTGCGGGCTCGCAACCTCGGCCACCGCTGCCTTAGCTCCTGAGATGGCGAGTGTGCGGGCTCGCAACCTCGGCCACCGCTGCTTCAGCTCCTGAGATAGGCGGGCGCGCGGGATCACTGCTTTGTATATTTTGTGTCACTTGCCGATTCTGCAAAAGAATGAACGTTCTCAGGCAAACAGGGGTTGGCCTTTTTCAGATTTGAATCCCACTTTGTCCCACTGCTTTTAACACTAATGAGCTCCTTACTTTTTGCAGGGCAAGGAACTCCGTTGAGTACAACATCAGGGGGCACATATCGTTCACGGCCAAGGGCTGAAAGGCCATCCCGTCCAGTGCTGGGCGCATTCCGGCTGCTATTCTGGACGACACGTTGGCGGGTTCCCCTAGTTGATCCGGAGGCCCTTAAAAAGGTGCATCATATCGCATTGGTCCCCTATCTGACGCGGGAGGCCTTCTTATCCTCGCGGTTGGCCCAGGCTCGATGCAGGAGCCCTCGTTGACGCAACAAGATTCCTGATCCCCGCAGTGACTCTATGATTAGCTCATCGATTCCAATCTGGCTTAACGGGCCCATGGCTGGACTTGGGTTGGAGAGCCCATCGTGTGGTGCTTGACACTCTGACACCGGGGCTTTCTGTTGTCTCAACGTGAGCTCTCATCATAAGTTCTCAAGTCTCCTTGCATTGTGAGAAGGGCCCCGACCAGTGCAGGGATCTCTCTGGCATTCGGGGTCCCGTTCCCGCACCTGCTCAGGAAATACTTCCTTGATTGACTCGAGGCCCCTTGTTGACACATGGTACTCTGTCAGACACTGTGGGGCACTGCCATGCACAGGAGGCCCCATCATTGCAAGGGCCCCAACCAACGCAAATCGCGGGCTCGGCCTTGTACCTGCTTGAGAACTGGGTCCCCAGAGCTCAGACCGACACGGAGACAACTGTTTGGTGTTGGTTATCTTTGGCCGAAATAGAGGAACGCAGTGTCAGGGGTTCCCAATCGACGGAAGAGACCCTTTGATTGGCATTTGAAGTCACAGCCATACGGGAAGGGACCGTCCTTACTGTGACCTACGGCCAATCCTCCGGGCGTTCCGGCCCCTTGGCCTTCCTATCGGGCCCTTCATCTTCGGACTCGAGGGGACCTTCGGCCCCTCTTCGAGTCTCCTCAAACAAAGTGCGTGACGGACTCGGGGTCTCTTGCCGACATGTGACCTCTGTTAGGCATCGTGGGCTCCTGACCGACACAGAGATTCTGACCGTTGTTCCAGGGGCCCAGACCAATGCAAATAGTAGGCGCTAGCATTTCTCCGGCTTGAGAAATGAGCCCCATGATTCAGAGTGACGCGGAACCAACTCCTCGGTGTTGGTGGCCCCTGGGCGACATAGACGCCAGCATTGCCTCGAGTGCCCTCAATCGGTGCAGAAGGCCCCCTGACTGATATTTCAGGTCACGACCCTACAGGTCCGGATACTTTATGCGACTTACAGGCAGCCTTTCAGGCTCTAATGTCCTCCAATCAGGCTGTTGATGATCGGGTTCGGTTAGTCCTTCGCGCCTTTCTCCTGGTTTCATCGAACATTGCTCTTGGTCGACTCGAGGCCTTTTACCAAAACAGGACTCCTTGATAGGTATTGTGGGTTCCTGAGAGATACAAGGGCCCCGACCGCCATAAATCGCTGACCCGGGCTTGCTCAGGCCAATACCGACACGAAGCCGACTGTGCGATACTCGTGGTACCTGAACGCCGTGTAGGCTCTTATCGACTCAGGGTGTCACGTGATTAATTTAGTGCTTGTATATCACGTATTCATGGAAGTGTTTCAAGAACTGGTTATGTCTCACCGTCGCCAAATGTGTCTATTCGGTTCCCGCCCGTTTACTGTCTGTTCGATGCGACGCTCTCCTCCCTTGTGTTCAGTTCTGAATATAGACCGGCTTGACCTGCGCCCGTTATTGATATGAGAGTGACTTAAGAAGGAAACGAAACACAGGGGACCCTCGACCGGAGCGAAAGACCCTTCGACTTTCATCTAAGGGCCCGTTCCCACAGGTTGGGCCCCTGAAGAAGACTTCGGTCAGCCCTTCGTGCTCTTAGGCCCTCCAATCGGGTCGTCGGTCGTCGGTTCCAGTGCCTCTCTTCGTGCCTCCCCGAACATTGCCTCAGGCCGATTTGGGGCCCCTTGCTAACACAAGGACCCCCTTATAGAAAATGTATACCCTGACAGAGCTGGGACCCCGACTAATGTGAATTGCTGGCACGTGTGCCCCTCGTCCACTATCACTCGAGTGACACACGCCACTCTGCATGGTGGCGCCGGCGCAAGGACGCTGTTACCATAATAATGACCCTATGCCAGTTCTTATGTCAGGCTGCACGCGCCAGCGTTTTCCGACCACTATGCGCAACCCGCTGCCAGGTTATGTTAGTCAGGTTTGAGCCAGCAAAGGTTCGAAGAATGCCGCCACATGTGCTGAGTTTCTCACCAAAGCACAGACCGACTTTTGACTGATGGACCTCGGTCAGCGAATACTGTAACAGCTCCCTCTGGAGGGGAGGGGACCTACAACCATGAATAGATGTGCACTTAT